GTACCACTACTTCCTCGACATCGCAGGTGTCATGGCAGCACCTTATCTTAGAGAAACCTATTAGGCATTGCAAGTAGAATTGCTAGCGCTTTACTTTTACTCATTTGCTAGTATATGTGATACATGCTATTGCCTAAGCCTTGATTGCCTTGATTGAAAACCCCTTCACCCTGACTACCTAGCTTCGCGCTCGCACTTATATATTGCCTACCTGCTTGCTTGCATTTACTTCCATCATTATTACATATATGCCTTGTTATGTGATGTGATGGTTGGTTGGATGATGTGGTTGGTGGATCGGGGTTTGCCGTGAGGCTTTCTCGTGAGATAGATGGTAGGTTGGCGCGACAGGAGCGTTGAATCCCGTGTGGGTGGTGGTGAATGAGGAGTTCTAGAGACATTCCTTCTCTTGACCTGTTTCTTTGGTGATATCGGCCGGAGTGAGAGGATTTACCCTGGAGGGGTGCACTTGGCGCATGGAGTGCCCTGGATCTGGTTCTGATGGATATGATGGTTATGACGTGACAGGCGTATGGTGGTGGCTACACGTGAGAGGTGGGCCACGTGATATTGGTGGAAGGTGCTTGCTTTGGCCATTAAGGACCGTTGTGGGTTGATGCCTGGGACACGGGACTATGTTAAACGTGCACGCCACATGCCCTGAATGGGTGGGCCCCGTTCTATTGAGTTAGTGCGGACTAAGCCAGTTCTGTGGGAGGAGAGGTGCACGGGGTTTATGTAAGGTCGAGATGGCGGACTAGAGGGGGGGTGGATAGTCTTTTCTAAAATGAATCACGTCGGCTAACCGATATAAATGCGGAATTAAAACAATCGGTCTAGCCAAGATTACACCCCTCTATATATGTTCACTAGCACCTTGCAAAGATACTAATAAAGCAACTAAGGAGCCGGGCTAGCTAGAGCTCTTCTAAACAATTCTAGGAGCAAGGTCACACAAACCTATGTCACTAGTACTTTAAGTAACAAGGGAGCTCCTACACATGCTAGTAAGCAAAAGCACAAAGCTCACTAAGCTCACTAGCAATGCTCAACAACAAAGCAACCAACGCCTAATTAGAGAGCGGAAATACTTAGCTACACAAACTAAGCAATGTGACTAACAAGGTTACTAAAACCAAATTAGCCACGCAAGGGAGCTACTTCTATGCTACACAAGCAAGAAGGTAATTAGCTAGCAACACAAGCTATCTAATTACAAGAGCAACTACACAAGCTTAAGATATATATAAGTAATTGCAAGCTTGTGTAATGGGGATGCAAACCAACGGGAAGAACAAGGTTGACACGATGATTTTTCTCCCGAGGTTCACGTGTTTGCCAACACGCTAGTCCCCGTTGTGTCGATCGCTCACTTGGTGGTTCGACGGCTAATTAGCATCACCCGCTAAGCCCGCACGTCGGGCGCCGCAAGAACCTACCCCTTGAGTGAGGGTAGCTCAATGACACGCTTTACTAGAGTTGCTCTTCGTGGCTCCCGCGGGGTGAGCACAATGCCCCTCACAAGCACTTCTCCGGAGCGCCGCACAAGCTTCTTGCGCGCTTCGACGGAGACCACCACCAAGCCGTCTAGGAGGTGGCAACCTCCAAGAGTAACAAGCACCACCGGCTCGCAACTCGATCACCTAGTGCCACTCGATGCAACCTCACGATGCAATCGCACTAGAATCGCTCACTCACACAATCGGATGATCGCTATCAAGTATGTGTGTGATGGAGGGCTCCCAAGCACTCACAAGCATGGACACTAAGTCCCTTGAGGTGCTCTGCACCGGCCATGGCCGAGGGCCACTTCTATTTATAGCCCCAAGGGCTAAACTAGTCATTACCCCTTCACTCGGGCAACGGTCGGGCGACCGGACGCTCGGTCGTGTTGACCGGACGCTGGACTCGGCCGTCCGGTCGCCTCGCAGACGACCACGTGTCCTGATTCCAACGGTCACTTGACTTGACCGGGCGCGGCGACTTTCAAGCGACCGGACGCTGAATCCCCGGCGTCCGGTCGTTTCCAAGATAGTATACCGACCCTCGGCGGACGCGTCTCCGGTCACATTTGATCGGACGCAGCCAGCGTCGGTCACACCTCCAACTTCTGCGTATCGTGTCGTCGGCTGACCGGACGCAGCCTGCCAGCGTCCGGTGCATTCAGATCCAGCGTTCGGTCAGTTGACCGACGCCAGCATCTTCGCGACTAACTCGTTTTCACTTCTAACTTCATCACCCTTGCTCCAATGTGCTAACCACAAGAACTTGCATCCGGCGCAATAGAAAATAGGCATTATATTTTCCCGAAAGCGCCGAATCCCGCCTCGCAAGCTCGGCGGGAGGGAGAGAGGGACCCAAACCCATCTCACCCCTGCAAACACCACCTCCTTTGTAAATGTGCCAACACCACCAAGTGTACACCACCATGTGTATGTGTGTTAGCATTTTCATAATCATTTCCCAAAGGATGTTAGCCACTCAACTTACCACGCCACTCGATTCTAGCGACAATGCAAAGTTAGATCACTCGAGTGGCACTAGATGACCGATATGCAAACAAGTTTGCCACTCTTGATAGTACGGCCATCTATCCTAAACCCGGTTATAAACTTCTCTACACACCTATGACCGGTGAAATGAAATGCCCTAGGTTATACCTTTGCCTTGCGCATTCCATTCCATCTCCTTTAATGTCGATGCAACACATGCACCAACATGATCAACAATGATATGATCCACTTCATATCATCACATAATCATATTGGTTCATCGATCTTGACTCTACTTGTTCTTCACCGTTGCTATCGTTCATCGGCGCCAAGTCTTGCTCAAGCTTCACCGCCACGTGGTCCATCACTCCAAAGCCTTCGACTTGCCCTTCACGCTTGCAACCGGTCCATCAAGCCAAGTCTTGTCTTGATCTTCTCCACCTTGATCACATGACTCAATGTCATGTCTCATGTGCAATAAGCTCCTTCATCATCACATGTGTGAGCTTTGCAACATCTCCAAGCCATTTTCACCTCCATGGCATATGTTGCTCATACACATGTACCTGTGGACTAATCACCTGTGTATCTCACATAAACACAATTAGTCCACCTAGGTTGTCACTCAATTACTAAAACCAACAAGGACCTTTCAGTTTAGCCCTAGGAGCACAGTGAGAAGGATGCCGACGGTTTTTCTGGCTACCCTAATCACGATCCCAAGTGTATACGTCGTGCCGCATGCTACTCCACTTGGGGGCAGACTGGTGAGGAATGTGCTAGTTCTTAAGCGGTGTTTGCCTAGACCGCGGCCACGGTCGATGATGGTAATCCTAGAGGGTATAGGTGTACACACTCTACAGAGTTAAAACTATACGTATAGCCGCGATCTCGGTCATGATCATTCCTGTGAACTGTTTCACCCCGCTAGTCTTCTCTTGTTCTTTGCTTCTCTCCCCCGAAGATAGGTCCGGCTTGAGGCCGTTGAGATGAGGGGCATGCGGAGGCTGCCTCATCGCTTAGACTGAGAGTACAAGGATGATGTGACAGATGATGTGAGGTGAGATGTGAGATGTGATGATGAGTGGATGGTGAGAATGAGTGTATGTGTTGGGATTTAGAGGAGATACTCTATATATATTTTTGACGCTTCTGCATGCGCTAAGGATGCAAACTGCAGCCAAACTATTAGGATTGCCAGATCCCTTTATTTTCTATTTTCCACTAAAGCTCATTGGTGCTGACCATGGCCTACACACATCTGGCGGTGTGCAGTTTTTTTGACTTACAGTGGTGTTGAGATTGGTAGTTGGTTTGCGATATACTCTCAAGGATGCCCGTGGATTGGAGATTCGCCAAGTTTTGCTGCTACGAGTAGAGCCTCAGTGTTTTGATTGATCTTAACCTAGAGAGCTTATAAATAGGTTAGTTTTATTCCTATTTTTGTACTCTGTTGTTGTATGACTTTGTAATCAGCTGAAAAGTGGACGTCCGTGATAGCTGAGGTATCCTGGGACTATCACATAGGGACAAGAGAGTCAGGATTTCAAGTTTTGGAATCCTGGTTCGTTTCCTGTGCGCAGTGTGAGGGTAACAATCCTGTATTGAGTTAAACAAAGATACCAGAAACTATCCCCAGTTCTCCGATTCCTTTCCCTGCTGTGGGATCGTCACAAGTGGAACCAGTCATAATAATGTTCATATTCCTGTTCGTTGCTACAAAAGCATCGTTTGACAGGCACGGGCTTCCTCGAGGATCGACTGGTGTCGGAGACTCGGAGTCAGACGACTTTCCCAAAAGAAATTCTCGTTCACGGCACTCAAAATAGAAGATAGGGATGGGGAGCAGAAGAGGGAACACGGCGAGTGCTCCTGCGGGCAGCAGCGTGGCGTGAACTCCGAAAGAAAGGCTGGAGCTGGCCCCCAGCACATATACCGCAAGCATGAAGTCTCCTTGGGCAAACATGGCGCGCGCCTCTCGCGTCTCAAACATTCACCGATGGTACGTTTATGTGGCCGCGATCAAAACGTGCTACGGCCTATGGATGAGCCTGCCGAGGACACGCCACACACAACAGGTTCAGCCGTTCAGGCGTTCAGCTGCACCCAGCCGCCCTGCCGTCCGAGCCGATCTGGCTGCTGTCCTCGAACCCCCAGCCGCTCGCGGACTCCGGCCAGGCGGAGGATGCCGCTGCCACAGGCGGTGGAGGCAACAGCGGCTTCCCCGCAGCTTTCGGCGGTGTCGGAGCCACCGGGGAGCGGGAGGGCAGGTTCCTGTTCGGAGGTGAGCACCCTTGGTTGAATCCGACTCGGTTAGGAGGTGAGCACCCTTGGTTGAATCCCCGACTCGAATCCCCCAGCCCTTGCGTTGCCTTCCCTCCCCTTTATATATCGAGAAGCAGCACACGATCAGAGCCATCGAGGCATCGAACAAATCGGTAGCTCTCAACCGTCGGCACAGTTTGCTAAGAGACGACACCAGCTCACGCAAGCCGTCCTCCGGGCACAATGAAGAAGGCCACGTACGCGTACGACACCGACGTCGTCATGCCCATGGACGACGGCGGCACCGTAGTGATCCACACGACGGTCACGAACTCAGGCGACGCCGTGAAGCACTTCCTCCAAGAGGTCCGCGAGACGACCGGTGGCAGCAAGGGCGAGCCCGGCCTGATCGTGGGCCTCGACACCGAGTGGCGCGTCGTCTTCCACGACGACGGGTATCGCGACAACAGGATGGTGGTCCTGCAGCTGTGCGTGGGCCGCCGCTGCCTCGTCTTCCAGATCGTCCACGCCAACTACGTCCCGGTCACCCTGAAGGCCTTCCTCGCCAGCCCCAAGCACCGCTTCGTCGGCGTCTCGGTCGACGGCGACGTCGAGCGCCTGTACTGCGACTACAAGATCCTGGTCGCCACCCCCGTGGACCTGAGGCACGTGGCCGCGGAGGTGCTGTCCCGGCCGGAGCTCGCGAGGGCGGGGCTCAAGACCCTCGCGTGCGAGGTGATGGGCGTGCTGATGGAGAAGCCCAAGCACGTGACCATGAGCAAGTGGAGCAGGCCCCTGTCGCCGGAGCAAGTCCGGTACGCCGCCATCGACGCCTTCGTGTCCTACGAGATTGGCCGGCTGCTGCTTACCAGTCAGCGCGCGTTAGAACTAGAAGATGTGGCCGCCGCCGCTGGAACGATCTCGCCGTTTGTGTGCTTCGAGTTGCCGTAAATAAGCTGATCGAAGAGATGTGCTATTAGAAGTCAGCCGTTATAGCGTTTTGCGACGAGACCAGGATTGTTTTATTCACAGTGTAGGGATTAGTTGCATGTGTAATTCATGACGAATCTCGCACGTTTATTCATTTGATTGATTGATTGATTTGAAGGAAATTTGGAATCTTACGTCTATATATAGTTTTGTACATAAATTGGTCGTTCACAAGTTCTTCACCTCGACCCTAGTTACGTCTGACTGTCTGAGACTCTGAGTACGTATTACGCGCAACGTCTGCTGCTCACGTAACGGCATACATATTGAACTGGCTTGCTCACCTGTTGGCTGTCGCCGCGAAGTACTTTCACGAGCTATAGCCTGTTCGGCTGGGATTATACGGTCGTAAACGATCATGGATTATAAATTGAAATATTTTTTTTTCTCTCACACCAAACCAGCCAGCAGTAAATAATCTACGATTATTTACGGCCTGCCGAACATCGTCAACCTATATTGCTGTCCCCTGGTCTGCCAAGGCCAGTAAAATATTCTTTCTCGAAAAAAAAAGTATCCAGTAGTAGTGACATGGTATCACAAACATCTTCATGCGGTGCAACGCGGGTAGGAGGACGTATTATGCGACCAAACCGGTGCATCGGCCATGCATGTCTGTCCCCGTCGCGATATGCATTTCCCATCTCAGTATTCCTAAAATCCCAGCCGCAAGCAACATTAAGATTACACCAATCACCATAGTCCATAGGCATTCCGTGCCATAAGCAAAATATGCCAATATTTAAAAGATTTTTGCTATTTATCTGTCGACTGATTTTGTGGTTTTAAATCTGTCAAATTCTGGGCTGTTTGATTTGCTTCAAGATTCGTGTGGCATTTTTCGGGTACAGACTCCCCTAGCGGATTCTAAAACCGGCATCCACAACCCGATCACACAGCCTCCGTCTCCTTTTTTCCCCAATGGCACGGGCACGCCTGCTGTATTGTTAGGCCTTTGGCTTTTGGTGGGGCGGAGAAAGTAGATGCCGGGGGGGGGCATCGGTGACCTGTTTAGTACGGCTTGTCGATGGGACTAATCCTGTAGTGAGTTATGTTGTTGTAAGTTATGTCAGTCACTTTTTTCTAGATGTCTTCAATTGCCTGTTTTGGCTGTTGTCATAGCTGTCCGCTTATAACTGAAATTATTTACAAAATCACTTCGATTTGAATCTGGCATCTCTGATTTCTTACCATGCCTCTGATCTTACAGCACAATGTTATGTTAGAAGCAAAGAAAATTAAGTGTTTTGCTTGTTTTTCCCATTGCGTCCAGGGGCAAACGGTGATCATATTTGCAATATCTAAACACATTTCTCGCTTGATTAATTCACCCAGCTACTGCAAACGAAAGGGACGTGCTGTAGGTTCCAGTAGTATCTGAAACACTTCTCTGTCTAATTTATAGAATTTTTATACGCTTGAGTTGTCTTTAATTTATTCCGTTTATCTTGGGTGTCTGCTTTTTTTACCATGCCTCTGATCTTAGAGAAGAGTGTTCGAAGTAAAAAAATTAAGTGTTTTGCCTGTTTTTCTCATTGTGTACAGGGGCAGACGGTGATCATATTTGTAAAAGGAAGATATGATTTTTCCACCCTCTTTGGAAAGGGATGAATTAGTCTCATATAAATAATTCACTATGCCCATGTCATCCTCGAATGCAAATACTTCCTCTGGTCCAGTTTATATAGCATTTAGCGTGCGTCAGCAGTCAAATTTTATAGTCTTTAACCAATAATTCTGCAAAGAACTTTTAACTGTTGCAATAAAACTTGATACTGTTAGATTTGTAGTCAAATGTACAATCCAATAGTCATAAGTTTAATCATAAACAATATACTATAAAATAAATGGATAAGTCAAAGTGTAATTTAGGAAACTGTGCAATGTTAAAAGATGCCTTATAACTACTGGACTGAAGGAAGTAATTAAAAAATGTGATGTGCAGATCTGATTTTCTGGATTTTTCTTTACATGCAATTTTTTTTTGTTGATGATGTGTTTTTAGGTTTATTTTCTTTCCTTTTGTGGGCCTTATGTGAGGCTTCACCTTTTTTGGTGTGGCAGGTATGTTTATTGAGCTTTTTTGATGTTTCTGATTTTTATGTGTGCTGTTTTGAGTTGATATAACTCTGCTGTTTTTTGGGTGATATCTGTTATTTGTAGATCTGCTTTTCTTTGTATTTTTTGTTGTTGATGTGTTGTTTAGTTTTTTGTTTTTTTTGTAGGCTTCTTTTTAGGGTTTTTTTTGTTGTTGCTGTTTGAGGTACCCAAAGCCAATTGATGTGCAGATCTTTTTACTATCTTCCTTTTTTTCAGGTATGTTCTTTAGGTTTTTTCTGGGATGTCCATTGATGTTTTGACTTATATTTGACTTGTTCAGGTTTTGATGTGTTTTAATGGTGAATTTAGTTGATTTGATTTTTGTAATGCTGATTTTTTTGTCATCTAATTACCTTTGGTTTTGTTTGATTTTAGTCAATTTATTTGCTTTCATTTCTGGAACGGGTTTTGATGTGTTGTAATGGTGAATTTAGTTTATTTCATTTTTGTAATGCTGTTTTTTTGTCATCTAATTACCTTTGGTTTTGTTTCACTTTGGTCAGTTGATTTGTTTTTTTGTATTTTTTTGGATTATCTTGTTAGATTATTTGCAGGTTGTATTTTTAGGGTTTTCCTGTCATTTGGATGTTGACAGATTTGTTGATAGTTTCTCTGCACTTGATGGGTGTGTTATCTTTGATGTGTGTGTGTGTGTGTGTTTGTGTGTGCTGTGCGTGTGCGTGCGTGCGTTTGTGTTTAGGCGCTGTGTTTTTGTTAATTGGTTTTGTACAGGCGCTGCTACTAGCTTTGTTTGTGTGTGCGTGCGTGCATGTGTGTGTGTTGTTTTGTTAATTGTTAAATGGTGTGTGTGTGCGCGCGGCGCGTTTGTGTGTTCAGGCGCTGCTGCTTTGTTAATTGGTTTCGTGCAGGTGCCGCTACTAGCTTTGATATGATGGTGTGTTCAGGCGCTGCTACTCTGCTGCTTTGTTAACGGGTTTTGGAGACCCGTGTTATAAAAATCTGACAGTTTTTTGCTTTTACCATCTGTGAGGGAGCATTAGAAGGTGTAGTTGAGCTGAGTTTTTTTTGTGTGTGTGTCTCTCTCTTTCTCTCTCTTTATGTGTCTCTGTGTGTGTTTTCTGGGTTGCTGGTGTTTTTGTGTGTGTCTCTCTGTGTTTCTGTGTGGGTGTTTGTGTGTGTGGGTGTTTTTTTTTGCAGGTTACCTCTTTTTTCTTTTAACTCATTTTATTCCTTTGAACCATGATGTGCATTTCTGATTGAATTATTTTTGTCCGCAGCATGTCACAAGTGAGGGTACAACCTTGGTCAAGCAAGCAGAAGATTTCTTCTAGCAATAAGAAGGTGCAGTGTTTCTTTAGCTCAGTGATGAAGCCATTGAAGATGCCCTTTGAGAAGGTACATCTGTTTTTTTTTTCTTTTGCTGTTATTGATAAATTATGTGCCGGAGCTTTGCATTTGATTGTGACTGGTTTCCAGGTGGTGAGATTGCTGGCATACATCAGTGATAAAGACCTATTTTCCCGAGTTCTATAGGTAGTCAGCAATGGCACTCCAAAACACCAGTTTCATTCAATTATCCAAACCCATGAACCACTCACACATACAGATTTTGCAGGAACTTGCAGACTTGAAAGTCCAGCTTGAGCTTCTTCCACTGCCAAACAAGAGTCGCTCAGAAATCAGAATCCAGTACTCAGCAGCAACCTGAGTAGAGTTGCTAAAGGTTTGCTGACCCCGGCACAGTAGCCTATTTTTTCTGATTTGATTTATGCCCACTGACTTCCTTTCTTTGGTGAAATGCAGACTTTAGGTATCTTCCAGCTTCTCCCAGCCAAGATTCAGCAAAGCTACCATGGAGGCTAGGACACATTTCGTATATATATGGTTAAGCAAACAGAGCAGTTACTATGCTAGTGCTGCCTTAAGTTGTGCTCGGTACTCTCTCTGTACACTGCCTTAGCTGGTCAGCTAATATAGCGCTGATTTTGTGGACTGTGCCTGCTTATCTTGGCAACTGGGCTAGGTACCACATGCAGTTGTCAGTGTTAGAGGTGCTCAGACAGAGCTCGCCTGATAAGAGTAAAATTTACTATTAACAACCAGTACAATGCTTGGTGTCAATGTCCGAGTCTGTATGTAGGGATCGTGGTGCATGTTCTAGTAGTTCAGAAAGTTGGGGAAGCCCCACTCCCATTGTATGTTTATGGAAAAATAATGGGGAAGAGGATACGGTATTCAAGGGTGTTAACTCTTTTGTGTGCTAAGAAGTACACTTATGGGTGCTTGAAACATAACAGAGACCTTTGCAGTTGACTGATTATTGGATTTTCTTTTGGTTTTCAAGATTAACGGGTTTTGGATCTTATTTAATGTTAACATGTGCTATTCAAATCTGATAGTTTTTGTTTCCAATCTGTCATTGTTTCAAGACACACTTGTCAATGTTCTATTAGTAAAAAATTTGACAGATTTGAAGGTACCAAATCTGTCGACAGAAGTCTAGTGCCTCCCTATTTAAAAATGAGTTTTGCTCCGGTGATCCTCTTCAAAAAATCTGCACGGATCTTAAAGCATCCTACTGATTAATTTAATTATTATAATTAATTTTGTTATGGGTTTGGATTGAAGACGGCCCGAACGAAGCCCATCCCCTTCCCACCAGTCCTTTCTCACGATCTCCGATCAAAGCATATAGACTCCGGTCATTTCTTGTAGGAACGGCGGCATCCACGCGCTGCATCCACGCCCTGACATCAACGCATATCAAACCGAGGTGCCTTCCCCGCGCCGCATCCCTGCCCTGGCGCTGCGGCGGGCGGTGATGGTGGTGGCAGACGGGACGGACAGTGGCAGCTGTGGCGGCAGACGGGACATGACGGGCACCGACGGGCGACGACGGCACCACCCAGCGACCAAGGCCAGTCTGCTCGGCGTTCCTAGGACTTGAATTGATTCATCCAGCAGGCAGCAGCCCGAGCTCAGCTACGTGCAAAGTTCCCCTTCCCTTCCTTGCTGCCCTTATCTCCTCTTTGCAACCAATCCCTACGCTCTGTCTGCCATGTGTGCGTGTGCTTAATTTCATCCTCTCCCTCTTCAATTGAATTCCCTTTGTGTTTTGATTAGCAAAAAAAAGAAAATTTATTTCAGGTTTGAATTAACAAAGGAACATAATCCCTTTCGCGTTTTGTCCCGGCCATCTCCTGAAATCTGGCCCTGTGCTGAATCTCTCCGTCCACTCCTCCCCTATTGGGCTGCTGTATTAGCCTTGTCGCATGTCAGCTTCTACAGTCCGGCCTTCACTGCTCTGCTAGGCTGCTGCCACGGGCGGGGATGCGGCGCGGCGATGGCGAAGGTGCCCTTGGTCGCAGATGACTGGTGCCGCCGCCGTCCGCCGTCTCGGTGTTGGATGTTTTCTCCGTTCAAACGACGTGCGGCTCGGGCAGAAAACCGATCGGACTCACAAGCGAATGACGTGGACTAGGGTTCCTAGCAATGGGCTTGTTTGAACCTGGTAGGTCCGGCCCTAATCCAGACCCATGACAAAAATAAAATTTTAATTAAATATTAGCTGCTTTAAGATTCGTGCAAAGTTTTGGAGAGGACCACCGGAGCAAAACTCTTTAAAAATAGCCTTTGTGCAACGGCGACCGTAATTCCATTACGTATGTTGACAGATAACACTTCCAGAAAAGCTCTTGTACATGCGCACATAGGAGTACTTTCTTCTAATTCTATAAGATAGCAGCAAATTTATTTGAAATTGGTCGTCACCATCCTTAAAAGAGTTAAGGCACAAGCCGCACTACCAGAGTTTGTGAACATTACACACAATCCCTCGCCTCACAAACAGAAGCATTTATCTTTGGCAATAAGCGGTGGGGAGTCATGGACTGAGAAACATATCAGCTCAATATACTTCACGGCAGAAACTTTCATGCTTCAGCAGCCTTCTCTGAAGGACTGTCTTCACCCTTTTGCCCCAGCTTCGCCTTCTTGGCTTCGTAGTCTTTCACAGCAGCTTTAATCGCATCCTCGGCAAGCATGCTGCAATGGAGCTTTACTGGTGGAAGGGACAAGTGCTTCGCAATCTCACTGGAAAAAAGAGTAACAAACTCAGTTACAGTGGTGTTTGCTAAGGGATTCTGACAGTGCCCAGAAAAATCTCAACAAACAAGCCCTAACAGCTGCGAGGGTGCTAAAGTAAATGAAGGGATTCATCTTTTTTAAAAAGGAAATCAGAGAATAAGACTACAAGTCACATCTTTCCTCTATAGTATAATAAGCACATGTACCATTTCCAATTACAGAAAGTCAAACATCAGAGGAGCAAATAATGTTGCTGAATAAAAAGTAAAGAACTAACACATCAGATAATCTGCCACCACTCCAAAGAACAAGGGAGAAAATTATAATGATTACCCCTGACAGCTGAAGAAAGATCATTTTATAGCAACTTACAGAACTCATCAAAACCGAATGTGACATTAAAAATACTAATCATGCTTAACCATGTACTGTTATATAATAATAATAAAATATAATCGAAGTATCAAATGGCCATGCTCAGAGAGAGATGCGCATATAACAACCAGTAGTGAAGTCTTCTCAGATACAAACCCCCAACATTCTCACAATGGTATTCACATTATAGAGAGCAGAACGACGTTGTAAAGGAACCCAAAAGCAGCAAGTGTGTGAGTTTGTTAAAGATGTAACATAGACAACAATTCATTTTTACAAAATACAATATTAGCATGTTCAGATGATTAATAAAGTGGATAATATTAAGCAAGCCGAAAATATTGGAAGATGATGGATAACTGACGTGTTCTTGATTGTCAAAACTTCATCCATTGGTTTTCCCTTCACCCATTCAGTAGCTGCAAGGAGAAAGATAATATAATCAACGTTAAACATTCAGCAGCTGTAAGAAAATATAATCACAAGAGATAAGGTATCGTAAAATTTAGAGAAAACTACGAGCAGACAATTAAGCACTCAAAGAAACAGTACTTAGGGCATTCTGTTTAATTAGGGATAAAGAGCTTCATGGGATCACGAATCAGGAATGGTTCTGGCTTATAAGGTTCAAGCAACCAGAGGGTCTATTGGCCCATAGTTAGCCTCCCGACCACCGAGATGGCCTCCAGACCACTACAGATAGCCTCCAGACCACCGAGATGGCCTCCAGATCACCCTTGGTCTCACAGGATCACCGGCTCACGTCAGTGAACCACTCTAGCCGATCTTGCCGTACACCGGCTCAGGCGAGTGGAGCACTTGACGGTCTCGCCGAGCACGCGCTAGTGTTGCCGAGCACCCACTAGACGTGCAGACCACGTACCGGCGTTGTTCGTACCCACACACTACGGACGGAGTTGGAAGAAGAAGGGAGAACAGAGCAAGCACGCACAATACAAGACAACAGAGTTGGCCGAATCTCTGCCTGTGTGATGGCAAATCTAAGCTCTCTTTACTGAGTTGCCGTACATGTCTATTTATACAACTCTAACTATTTAGTCCATGTGCAGCGCCCATGCTTTGTACAGATAACTAACCTCGACAAAAGCCGACTCTGCGCCAACGCCTTTGTTCCTCTGATCTTTGCGCAGGTGAGCCGTGCGACGCCTACACCTGCAGCGGCTACTGTATCATAGCAGGGGGTAAAGTCGGCGCCGCCTTCCCTTGCTGTGTTCACACACAGCAGGCGGCTAAGTCGGCGCCGCCTTCCTCTGCTATGTTCACACAAGGTGGCAGTAGATTAGCTAACAATCTTCCCCTAATCCTACTGCTAACCCTTGTACCCCCTCCATGCCGATCATCTCCTTCAGCTCCGTGAGTCGAAGTCGTCCGAGCGGTTTGGTGAGGACGTCCGCGAGCTGCCGAGCAGTTTCGACGAACTCGATGACGATTTGCCCTCCATCAACACAGTCCCTGAGGAAGTGGAACTTTACGTCGATGTGTTTACTCCGGTCGTGCAGAACCGGATTCTTCACGAGGGCGATGACAGGCTGGTTGTCCACCATCAGTGCTGGTGGGTGAGCTTCCACGCCGGCCAGCTCGCCCAGCAGCCGGCATAGCCACACAACTTGGCACACCGCTGTGGCCGCCGCTACGTACTCTGCCTCGCACGTAGATAGCGCCACCATCTTCTCGCTTTCAAATACAACCATGAAATTTGGGCTGACCCGAGGAAGACGAGCACGCTAGAGGTGCTCCGTCGTCCGTCGATGTCCCCCGCCATGTCTGCATCGCTGAATACCGTGAGCTGCAGCCTACTCCCGCCGGTCTTTGGGAAGATGGTTCCATGATTCACCGTCCCCTTGACGTAGCATAGTAGCCGCTTCACCGCAGCCCAGTGATCCTCCATGAAGCAACTGACGTAGCCCATGGCGAACGCAATGTCTGGCCTCGTGTGAACTAGATAGCGCAGACCGCCGACGATGCTTCGGTAGAGTGTTGCATCCACCTTCGCCGCAGTGCTGGCCTTCGTTAGCTTCAGCCGCTCCTCCATCGGAGTCACGCATGGCTTGCACTCCACCATGCCGCTCCTCTCCAACAGCTTGGAGGCATACGCGCTTTGCTCGAGCGTGAGTTTCTCCTTCCCCTGTCTCACCTCGATGCCGAGGTAGTAGGAGAGAGCACCGAGATCGCTCATTCAGAAATGAGCTGCCATCTCTCGCTTGAAGCTGTTGATATCCTCCGTGCGCGCACCGGTGACGATTAAGTCATCCACATACACGCCGACCACGAGTTCTTCCTTCCCCCGTCGTCGCGTGTAGAGCGCGTGCTCGGTTGCGCACCTCTGAAACCCAAGCTCGCCCAGCATGGTGTCAAGCTTGGCGTTCCATGCTCGAGGGGCTTGCTTGTAGCCGAGATGAGAGCACTTTTGCGCGCATCGAGCACCCTATGCTCCTCTCCCTTGACAAATAAACCACAGAGGTTGCCCGACGAAGATCGCTTCCGCCAGCTCACCGTTGAGGAAGGCCAATTTAACGTCCAAGTGATGGACGCGCCAGTCCTTTGCTGCCGCCAAAGCAAGTAGCAAACGGACTGACTCCATGCGCGCTACTGGCGCAAAGACCTCCTCAAAGTCGATGCCCTCGTGCTGGACAAAGCCTCGGGCGACGAGGCGCGCTTTGTGCTTGACAATGGCGCCGAGCTCGTCCCTTTTGACTTTGTACACCCACTTCAGGCTGATCGGACGGCATCCTAGAGGTGGATCGATGAGCTGCCAAGTCTCGTTTTCCTCGATCGCCTTCATCTCCTCCAGCATCGCCCGTCGCCAGTTTCCATCGCGCTCGGCTAGCGCGAACGTGGGTGGTTCCTCTGCACTGACGAGTAGCAGCTCTGCGTCGTTGAGCAGCCTACCCGCCAAACCTGAGGGACCTGTGCCGCCGACGATGTCGTCCAGCCTGCGAAACCTCAACTCCTCACCTTCGTGGTAGGCGTCCACGAACTCAGTGATGTCACTTGGAGGTGAGATGAACTCGATCGGGGGTGATGGAGTTCCTTCTTCCGCTGGAGTGCCCTGCATAGCACCCGAAGTGCTCGACACTGCTTCTGGACTGCTCGTCATAACTCCTACAGTGTTTGGCCACACTGTAGGAGTGCCTAGCCTCAATCTTGGAGTGGTCGGGACCACAGTAAGATGTCTTGGCTCTGGCACGGGAGTGCTCGGTACCCGTCCTGAAGTGGTCGCCACCACTGCAGAACCTCCTGGCTCCACTCCTGGCGTGCTCGGCATCCCTCCAAAAGTGCTCGACACTCCTCCCGGAGTGCTCGGCATCCCTCCTGAAGTGCTTCAGCCACTTGCCCAAGTGCTCGACTCTCATCACTGGAGTGCTCGGCGCTCCTCCCGAGTCGCGTGGCACTGTTCATGGCGTCTCCACCACCGTGGATGACCAAGTGCTCGACGACGAAGGTGTTGGGGAAGCCTCATGCTTCCCCCGTGCTCGGACTGTTCTAGTCCCAAGCCGCCTCCTCGTTGAACACTACGTCGCGCGAGACAGTCACCTTGTCTCCGCGTGGGTCATAGAGCCAGACGCTTTGGTACCCTCCAGCGTAGCCCAGAACACCATGGGTGTGCTCACATCCTCCAGCTTGGTGAGGTTCGGGCGCCGTCTTCTGGCGTGGCGATGCAACCGAATGTCCGGAGGAATGACACGTTCGGCTTGCTCCCGTACCAAGCTTCGAACGGTGTCTTGCCCGTTAGGGCCTTGGTTGGAGCGCGGTTGAGGATGAACACCGCCGTGGTCACCGCCTCTCCCCAGAACTTTACCGGCATCCCTTTGGCCTTCATCATGGATCGGGCCATGCCGACCACCATCGCTTGTCCGTCGCCTCCACCACGCCATTCTCTGTGGCGAAGTGCGGTAGCGGTGTGATGTTGTCCCACACCGATCCACGCAGATGCGTAGCAAACTCCACGAAGTGAATTCACCACCCCGATCGATCCTCGAGACGTGGAGCTTCTTGCCGCTCTCGGCCTCGCGCGCTCTTGAACTTCTTGATCGCCACCGCCGCTTCGTCCTTGCTCGTCGGGAGTTGCGACCACATGTAGCGCGCCGCAATCGTCCACGAGTAGGAGGAAGTACCACCGACCGACCACCGCATGTTGCAGGCATGATCGGCCCGCAGAGGTCGCCGTGAACTAGCTCGAGAGCTTCCTTTGCGCGATACTTGGCCGCCTTTGGGAAAGGTAGCCTCCTCTGCTTCTTGGCTAGGCAGATGTCACACAGCTCGCCTCCGTGTTTGATGTGGGGTAGCCCTCGGACCATCTTCCCTAGCCGACCAAGCGCGTCAAAAGCCGAGATGTCCGAACCGGGCATGCCACATCCACGGTTCTCGGAGTGCCTTGCCGCCAGGCAAACCGGCTACTCTACCTTCAGGTTGAGCAGGTACAACCGGTTCAGGGACCTCTTCACCTTGGCAAGAAGTCGCTGCTCCTGGTCTCTGATCCTTAGAACGCCGTCCTTGATCAGAACCTCGCTACCACGCTCATCCAGCTGGCCAATGCTGATGATGCTGGAGCGCAGCTGCGAGATGTAGTATACATCCGTTAGCGCGCGGTGCTCCCCGTTCTAGCATCT